TTTGGTATAAAATTTTATTTTTTTGTAACTACAGCTTTTTTAGAATGCCTATTTTATTCTGCTGTGTATTTGTTTTTTTTTTTATTTTTTTATTTTATTCTTTCGCTCGTTTAACGCACGTTTTCTTTTATTTTTCTTTCTTTTTATATGTAGTTGTAATTCCTTTCGAAATTCCTTTCTCTTTCGCTTAAGCTGATGCTTCTTTATTATTTTCCAGCCATCCAGTAAATCACATCCGCTTTCCTCTAACGCTAAATTCCAACTGATTTTTATTGAAATTATTTTGGCAACCTCAGCGATATTCGTCATTCGATCGAGAACCGGCCAAGTGCAGCATATATACTACACATTATCCTCCAGTTTGTGTGTGCGTGTGTGTAGGTAAGTGTTGTGTGTTTTGTAGGCTATTTCGATCGAGTTAACGACGTTAATACATATACTGCATATATTACATACATACATACACTACATACATAGCTAACATGCCTGGTCACATACATTACATATATACATAAACTATAATGTACAAATAAACATGTTTGTCTCATAAGTAACAAAAGAATATGATAACACGAAAACACGTAAACAACCTACTGATAAACTATAACATGTTTGTCTCATAAGTAACAAAAGAATATGATAGCATTGTAAACAACCTTCAATAACAAATTTAATCACTAAACCAATAACAAACACCATTTATCATCAGTAGTAGAAATGGTATAAATAGATGTAAGCATAAAGATGTAAGGAGCTCGAGATTATACGAATTCAAATAAAGAGCTCTTGCTCAGAAAAATATAAAAATATTTTTTTTATAACTTTCCTGACTTGAGTACTAAACTGGGGGCTCAACCGGTCTTAAAAGCCATTTTCTAATCCTGTAACGTTACAAAGGATAAGGAAAAATCTAATTGAAGAATACGGTGCCAAACTAGTTTATAAACCTGGACACCAGAACGTTGTTGCAGACGCACTTTCCCGACAACAAGTCAACAACACAACAGATTGTTCAGACCATTCACAACAAAGCTCTCCAAATGAAATTATGAAAAAAGTTAAACAACCACTAAACTCTTTTAAAAATCAAATAATTATTTTACAAGATAATGAAAGAAACGAAATTCTTAATCAAACAACATTTCCCGGTCAATCTAGACACACAATATTTTTTAAAGATACCCCAGATTTGCTCTCCAAATTAAAAAATGTAATTAAACCAAAACTCACTAATGCGATAAAAATAGACGAAGAAATACTATTTGACTTAAAAAAAGAAATAACTTCCACATTCCCAAATTGCACCCTGGTACTAGCCCAAAATCAGCTAATTGACGTAACTTCCTTAAATGAGCAAAGTGAAATCGTCAAACAGACACATAAACGTGCACATAGAAATTACAAAAATAACACACAAGAAATATTGTTGACCCACTACTGGCCCAACATTAAAGAGAGGTGCAGAAAAGAAGCAGTAGATTGTGAAATATGTTTACAGCACAAATATGAAAGACAACCAAACAAACAACCTATAGGAAAAACCCCAATACCAATACGAGTAGGAGAATACATACAGATGGACATATTCCATATCAATAACATGCAGTATCTTAGCTCCATAGATAGATACTCCAAATATTGTTTCCTACGAAAACTAAACACAAAAACAAACTGTCACGAATACATAGAAGAAGGACTCACACAAGTTTACCCAAATGCTAAATAACTCATGACTGATAACGAGAGAACATTTAACGGACACATAGCGAAATTTTTGTACAACCGGCTACAAGTAACGCACTCCGTCACGCCTGTACATCATTCAACATCAAACGCTCCAGTTGAACGATTACACAGTACACTAATCGAACTCTGTCAAACCTTAGCTGCAGAAAATAAAACAGCTCCCGCCGACGAATTATTCAACGCAGTTCGCCAATACAACAGGACAATTCACTCCTCCACAGGATATAAGCCCGAAGAATACCCTGATATCAAAGACACACTTGAAGATAAACAAGCAAAACTACTCCAACATCACAATAGGAACAGGAAAAGCATAACTTACAAACCAGGTGACCTAATTTACAGCCGAACCGATCGCCGTAACAAACTCGCTACAAAATATAATAAGCATAAGGTGAAAGAAGATCGTGGGGACACAATCCTAACAACTAGGGGAAAAATAATGCACAAAGATAGCATAAGAAAAAATTGCATACCATGCAACAAACAGGATTCTTAAATTTAATAATAATAACCTGCGGGTTATGCGATGAAATCACCGATTTGACTGGTAAGAAATACGTACTCACTGAACTAGATTCCGTGTATATTTATGAGACTTCATCCTATCTTTACCATGTATCGAATCTATCTATAATATTAGCTCCATATGAAAAAATAGTGAGAACTAGATATGATTCAATTCAAACTGAAGGAAAAAATATAATAATTGATAAAATAGAAACTCTGAAGACACAGTTAATACCATCCGAGTATCGTGCCAAACGCGCCCTTAATTTTTTAGGCTCAGTATTAAAATTTGTTACAGGAATACCAGATCACGATGATCTAGTTGAAATTAAAACAGGACTTAATCAACTTATCGAAAATAATAATCAACAAAGGACAATAAATTCTCGAATTGAAAAAATCTTAACAACCCTAGATCCACAATCTATTTTTGATAATTCAATACTTACGGAAATATACAGTGAACTATTAACTATTACAAATACCATTAACTTCGCAAAAACAGGAAATTTCTTCTCTGGAACACTTAACATCAGAGATGTAGAAGAAGTAATAAAAAACGAAGTATATGATATTCCAATAATAAATATACTAGAATATTCTAATACATAAACATGTAAGGAGTTCGAGATTATACGAATTCAAATAAAGAGCTCTTGCTCAGAAAAATATAAAAATATTTTTTTTATAACTTTCCTGACTTGAGTACTAAACTATCGCAGCTATGTAGCGCTTTATTCACCACTCATTAAATGCTGCCGAGGCGCATGTTTCTTTTATTTTTATTATTTTTTGCTTATTCTGGCTGTGCCATTTTCTAGTACTTGCCATTTTTCTATTGTTTTTATTTTACTAGCACATTTTTAGCTAACAAATTTGCACATCAAAAATTGTTTTAATTGCTTTTGAGCGCACTTTTTTT